TGTTAAGGCTGTGATGTATACTTGCCAGGTATATGCATGCGTCTACAGGTGATGTTGTAAACAACAGTGCCTATACAGGTGCGTGTGTACATGAGCGCCTATTACAAGACCGCTATAGGCATAACGAAATATGCAATGGCCTTTACATGACAGCCTATACCTGACCTTGTTTAGGCTGTGTGTATACTTGCCAGGTATATTGCATGCGTCTACACGTGATGTTGTAAACAACAGTGCCTATACAGGTGCGTGTGTACACGAGTGCCTATTACAAGACTGCTATAGGCATCACATAATAGGCCTTCATGTTTACATGACAGCCTATACCTGACCTTATTTAGGCTATGCTGTATACTTGCCAGGATGTTGTTTACATGTGTCATCTGTGTACAGAAATATATGGGATGCATAGAAGCTCAGGGGATTACAATTTTCACATATTCTTCATACGTTACTATCACAAATCACACAAGGAATCTCAGCTCTCAGCCCACAATCCCTCAGTCTGCTTTACTAAATGAATAATCCACATGTTATTAATGCTGCAACTCCAAAACACAACCAAAACACTTAACAGAATAAATTGTCCAACACTATCAGCACAACACAAACAGTCATTTCCTACTCCCATGAGCCCCAATTGATCAATCCTCCTCTACCCGGTCGTTATTATCTAGGACGTCTTTGCTACGCCTCGTCTGATGAAACTTCATCTGTGTCATCATCTTTTGACCACACACAACCAGACTCCCATTGCTCCCATTCCTCGATGGCCATAAGCTTGTCCAATAGTGCCCGCGCTTCTGATGGGTGCAAGCTTCGCTTTTCACTCTCTTGAGACTGCTGTCTGACTTCTTCAGCAATATCCTCCAACACGACTGGCAAAAGGCCATGGGGTGGGCTGCCGATGAGCTCGTTGAGCACAAATTGTGCTGTGGGAACTGCATTGCCCATGGACTCTTCCACATCATCCATGCTTCTGCTGGAGGAACCACGTGTACGTTTGACTTTAACTTGGGAGATCCGAACAATGCACACTCTCTCGATAATGGACTCAAACGGGATACACCCATAAGCTGCTGCTGGTTTTCCAGTCACCCTGGAAGTGGAGGTTGTGTGGACAATCAATGGTTAGTGTTAGTGCAAGAGAGGGAGGTATACAACTGAAATTATGACTGTGTGTAAACTACTTTTATTACCTCTGCCATCGCAGCGGACGGAGATTCAGTTCACGGTTCCATTCATCTTCTGGAGCATCAAACCACTTAACATACACCACATCTGCTACCTTGTCTTTGTAGAGCACGCTGAGCAGTAGCTGCACCTGCACACAAGGGCCATGCACATATGAGCAAACTCCAGAGAACTGAAGTACATACACACAACGAATGGAAACCAAACCTCCATTTGCCTACCCGTCCGTACCACACACCATAGCCCCCTGGGGTGTCATTGTTCAGGATTGAAATGTCGCACACTGGGCATGCCTGGGTCTTGAAAAGGGACTTAGCCAGGCCGCCACCACGGATGTAAGTGACGGTGTGAAGTGGGGCGTAGTAAAGACATCCCATACGCCTGATGACAACCTACAAGTGTGAAGTTCACATGCATAGCATAGTAAACAACTAGCTAAATTAACACTGCTAAACCTGCTAGCACTGTATCATGAACCTATGTAACCAGCGAGCCTACCTTGGCATGATCCAGATCCTGTGCAGACACCCCCCAGGCAGCCACCAGCTGCTCTGTAAGGCACTGCTGCAGGTACTTTGCACCCTCCATGCCCCAGGCTGCTTCATCTGTTTGCAAAAAAAATGCAAGACATGCATATAGTGTGATGCCATTGGGTCAACATTTTGGGAAAATACAAGCTTGCATACACCGACCTTGCAGATTCTTAACCTTTTCCATGGCCTGTATCCAAGGAAGGCTGAGACCTGACCGGCCGATGGCATGTTTCTTGTCCCTGAGTACCTGTGCTCTCTGGTACACAGGTACGTTGATACGTGCAACGTGGGTTAGGCGTGTAGCGGCATATAAAATCGTAGATGGTTACAGCAACATCTGCAGCACATACATAGCTTCAAGCACACATACCAGGTGCTTATCAGTTGCCTCTGCTGCTGCACCCTCGTGTTCAGCAGCCATCCCCCCAGCAGTGATGGCACCCAGCTTATTCACAACCTGCCAGATTTGTATGATGAAGGCGGTGGCACACAGAATGCATGTCACTCACAAGTCATCTTAGGCGTTGCATATGGATGGCAAATACACCCCTGATATTGATTAGTTCACACTTGCCTGCTTATCTATGGTGTCAGGATGCTTGTTTGTAAATTCCCATGCTTTACGCACAGTCTTCACAAAGCTCTCCTTGGGGCCCGTCGTTGTCAAGTCAGTCATGCCCCATTGCCGGATGCACCACGTGTATTTTCGCATGTTAAAGAACTTGGGGATGTTTCCCCAGTTCTTGTATCGGCCAAACAGCCGTATCATATCTGTCTGCAGTCTGCAAGCAAACACAGCAGTATTATGAACACATGTTCATATCTGTAGTAGCCTTCACGAGTGACACATATAACATGTACATTGTTCAAAGCAGTGATCTGACTGTCCATCACTCGTGCCTTCATCCTACCTTGCTATTAGGTCATCCAGAAAGGCGAGGCTTCCAGTCGTGTGCCTTGGCATGTCACGTACTTGGATGTAGCGCCCATAAGCTGCAATGAAGCATGTTTGGTTGCATGGAGCAAGCGGCACATACACGGCACATATAAACACAGAACCTCATCAGGAGTGTTGGTGTGTACAGCAATGGCTTCACCCAGCTGGGTCTGCAGACAATGAGCACCTACCTGTAAAGAACTCCGGGATGTCATGTGGCAGTCCCAGTTGCTCAAGGTCATGGAGAGCAATGCCCATGAACCGCATGATGCACTCTCTCTCCTGTGGAAGGATGTTCCATTGGTTGGGGAGGTAACAGCAGGCAGCAAACACTACTGGTGTCACACTATACCTTCGTCAAGCAAGGTCTCTGTATTGCTGCGGAGTATTGCATTACATACATGCTTACAGTAAGTAAGGAACACAAACATTCAAAGCATACGTACCTCTGCACATGTCTTCTCTGCCCACAGGCTCTCCTTGGGTATCCGACCCCCACCATGCAAACGCCGATATGAGGCAAGCCGTCCCCTGATCTTCAAGTTCACTCTCTCCTTCTGCTGCTTGCACTTATCCTCTATACATGCCTTTAAAGCCTCTATGAGATGCAGCGAGATACCGTTGAAGTCCTGGTGAAGTGTGTCCACAGGTACACACTGGTAAATGTCGGTATTGGCAAAGCCCCATAACGCCACCTCCTCGCCCACAAATCCGACCTCGTTCCGTTGCTTCAGGGTGGCATCCCCTGCCAAGAGTGCCTGCACATTATGGGTACATGCAGCATGTTCTGAACAAGAATAATAGGCGCTGAATGCATTGTCTTTGTGTTATGGGAAGTGATATGGATTCAGGCTGATCCGTACAATAGCAAAACTCGAACCAAAAATGATGGGCAGTTCACAAGTAAAACATTGCCAACGTTTGAATGAGGGCCATGGAATTTGTTAAGACATGCACGTGGTTCAAGAGGGTTCAGCACCATATACAAGTGGTCCAAAGAGACAAACTCAGGAGATGGAAAAGCATGCATGAGGCAACCTTTCACAACCATCAAAGCAGCGGATTAGGCCAGGAATGGATCTGGTTAAGGCTGTTGCGAATGGTGGTGCCACCAGTGCGATAGGATGGCCTGCATGAACAAATGATACTGCTGCAGTTGCACCATCTGCATGTGCCTCTGTGTATGGGGGTGTTTAGGGGGGTGTCTGCTGCGGGTGTCTCTTAGGGGAGGCAGGCGGGGGGGGTGTACACTTTACTAGAAAGAATGAGGCTTTCTATAAGTGCCCACGTGCTCCTGCTTAAGAGACTACATTCTGGCACACAGTCACTCGGGCTACATAGCAGGCTTGTATATACATACATACATATGTAATAGGGTTATTACATGTTAACACACGAGACAATCAAGGAGCATCTGGTGAGCCTTCACCATGCAGAAAGGAAGCAACCTGCTGCTGCAAATGTATGTATGTATATATATATGGTTAAGTAAATATATGGGTAAGTAAATAACCGCGACAATCAAACATGGATAATGACCCAGTGGCAGTATACCGTACTGATCACAAACTCCATTACACTATTAATAGCTTGAATCTAGCTGTGAAGCAAATACATTTGAAGGCCTAAGAAATCTGTTTACAACCGGTCAAGGTGCATGAAAAGCTGCTCATTATACATTTTAAAGTGTGTATGCGCTGACTAATAAGACAAGGCCAGTCTGCTAGTACATGATGACCACTGAAGCATATACATGCATTGCATTGGTGTGAGGTCCCCCTGCATCACCTTCATGTCTTCCTCATGGCGCAGAGGTGGATCAGAATCCAGGTTGATCATGTCATCCTTCGTGGCCAGTGTGGACACATCTCTAAAGTAACGCAGGCCAAGGGCTTCCCACTGTTCCTGCAGATCTGCAATGAACGCTCCGAGCGCCAGCCTGCACTTGTGGGCTTTCCCCTTGCTATCACGCATGGTAATTGTCCTGCTCACAAAAAAGGCAGTGGACAGTGAACATTCACAACATGCTATGGTTTTTAAGCACAGCTAATATCTGCACTGCTCTATGGCGTTTGGGTTCAGGTTTGCGCTTCACATGGGCACTATAGTGGGGATCAATAGCTAATTCTCTCCATCTCTCATGTTCTAGATCACCCACAAAGCATGCCGTCTGAAGCTCTTTCTTGAGGCAGCAGGAATACAATAACAAGCAGCAGAAAGAACTTAATTTCCATGCAATTGTCACGAATTAGAAGGTAATTTTTTGGTAATAAATCAGTCATAAAAAACGTCATGCCAAAATTATGTTGAATGCTCAACCAGGGCGACATGAACTCTTACTCGTAACTAGCTTGCTTGAAAGGCTTCAGCACTTGCTCCAGGGCAACCTGCAGCACTTTGCGCTTCAGGGTCCTGAACGACTCGCTGTCCTTGCTCTCACCTACATGATTGGAAAAAGGCATCGATAAACATTACTACCAAGTTGAATTCCTACATTGAATTCCAAAGCATTTGCAACCGCCGTGGAAACATAGCTGTTTAGGTTGCTGCACCATGCATGCAAGCAAGCATCATTATTACCCTCTCGTGGAGCAACACTCGGCAGCAGTGCAATGAGGGATGTGCCCCTCTCCGTCCTCTGGAACTCCACCGGGTGGTTACCTGCAAAGGGTTGTATGCGGGGAGGCAACATACTTAGGAAGGTTCACCTTTGGAATGATGCATTCTTCTCGAATAGTACACCACTTGCATAGGCTTGGGGCCAGGCTTACAGGAACTCCTTCTGCAGAACAACTGCAAATGCAAAGCGCTTGACCAGCACCTCAGCTACTACATCACCTATGAACCCCCTCTCACCTGTTCATGAACGCATTGCTGATCTATTCACAACTAGTCATTCCTGTTGGTTTAGATTGTTATTATCATCATGTCGACAGGTACTCTCATACAGATCATGCAGACTTACCTAGGGAAATAGTAATCGGGTGACCAGTCTGGCGTCCCGCCTTGTCATAATTCATCTTGTCAGACCACAGCATGATGTACACGATGGGCGACTTCTTTGCCCACGTCACCTGTATTTCAAGTAAGGCAAACAAACCTGAGTTGTAATGCATTCAACAAGAGCAGTTCATGCTGTGTCGTTGCCCACAATCAACATCTATTCTTTACACTCCAACAAAATAATAGGGGGAATTCAAGCATCTAACATGCAAACCCCTTATGATTTGTTACCTCTGGGTTATGAACCTGTCCATGGTTGTGTGTCGGTTGCACATACCTGGTCGGATATCCACTTGTCTGCCGTCCACATCTCATTATATACTCGTTGTTGTCCATCGTCGTCCATGACGACAGTTGGCTTCAACACCGCGTTGCCGTCAGGGAGTTCCAGCATGCGCTTCACCAAGCCGATGGGATCCTTGTGTACGGCAACACTTAGCTCCTTGTCCAGTCCGACCTGTCTCGAAATGTCGACATGCATAAACGCCTCTGCTGCCCTGCTGTGTGTCTGGATGTTTTTAAAAACTTCTCTCTCATTCGTCCCGGAAGGCAGATATGCATCACCACCCCGAAACAGGGTCAAGAACTTTGAAAGATTGTTTGCTGCAGGGCAGGAGGGCATGCAGGCAGTGTACAGTCTTATTCGTCATGTTAAAATGCTATGTATGGATGTTCTTGAAGAATTGCATACTTCTGCCAGCTTAAAGTCCGACGAACAACAAAAGGAAGTAACCGAAGTTTGACAACAGCCCCCCCCCACCAGGATGTGAAGAAGGAATGCTTACTAAGCATAATAGTATTATGTAGGGGCAACTGCATCCCTTCACACCCTCAGCACTTGCTGAGGGGTTGTACTGCAGGCACAGGTAATGAATTGCAGAGAGACGTTACATAATAAACAACTAACAACATGTATTACTACGGAAAATGTCTTGCAAACAATGAGGAAGAAAAATGTAAGGGCAGAAGGTGGCGCCTGCCAGCAGGTGCTGGCAGCTGCCTGGAGCTGCTTGTCCTGATCCTCGCTCAAACGTCATCATGCTTACTGCCTTTACCTTACCGGAAAGTACGGATGCAAGGAAGGTTTCCACCTGGATGTTGAACGGCTGTTTCACAGAGTCGGCCTCTTGTGTCGAAGGCAACACCAACTCCAAGTTCTCGAGGCAGGACTGGCCCATGTCCAGCGAGCCAGTATCGGAAGCTGCTGGCTGCCCGTGTTGGCAGAAATCCTTGGATGGATCCTCTGCTGAATGTGGCATATCAGCGAGGCCCACCTTGTTTGTATCGTGAATGACGAGCGCCGCCGCGCTAGACGCTGGCCGCTGGGTGTTCAACGATGCCTTGAAGTCCCTGGAATGTTTTTCACGGCAATAATGCCGATCCAAGAAAATGAAGAACTTATGACAGTACGCACAGATATTGTTTCCCACGAAAGTTGCCATGTTAGGGAATTTCAAGGAACGAAGTAGCTGCAGGGTTGTTACGAAACGGATTAGAAGTACAAGCCGAGTTATGTTTCGTGTAAGAATAAGGAAATGGAATGTATGTTTGATGGACATTTCAGTACATCCATGATGCAGATCCCGAATAGGGCTCCTTAAGTATGGCGGCGGTGTATCATACGGATATATGCGGATAGACCGGCTTAGCGTTATATTCTTGTGACATTGACTAAACGATTAAAGATTCATCAGGTTCGGAGTAACGTCCTTTGCTCATTGTGTGTGCACGATGTCCTTCGTGGCGATCGACAGAAATTCCCTTTTTACGCGTGATGAACGGCAGTTCTGGGGCAACCCATCGATCCTTCAAAAATATTTCAAAATAACACGTGCACGCTCAGCAATTAAAGGGCATGGAGACACTGGTGTGCTGAACCTGCTGGACGGCACCAAGTCGGAGCTCGAAAAAGGACAGGAGCTGTTCTTTTTCGATGATGAAGCTAATCTAGTGGCACAGCTGCTAGTTCAGGCCTACGAATGGAGGCAGCGCGAGGAAGATGGTGCCAGGGAGCTACGTATAATAGTTTCCGTGAAGGAGAAACCCATCAAGGGCAGGACAGTCAGCTGGCTGATTCCTGGATCGATTGTTCGGGGGGAGAGATACCATTCTTTTGATTTTTGTGACGTCCTTTCTCAGGGCTTCACCGTGTACAGGTCCGTCCCGATGCCTCCTTCAAAGGTATGTCATGACTAGGGTTTTCTGAGCCCCATCAGGCTGTTCTATAACTAAACAATCGTTTGCCATTCATGTTTCGTGAACAGAACACCCCTGGGAGGGAGCCGTCCATAGCTGCAGACGCCAGAGGGCATGTGGGTGGATCTTCTGCAGCTGGGCCCAGCCAGCAGCCAGGCAGTGCACCACCAGCAGGCACTGCTCAGGAGCAGATGATGGCAATGGGCAACGCTGGTGGATTTGCTCTGGAAGGTATTGCAGAGGAGGAGGATGAGAATGACGAGGAGTATGTGCCGGCTACTGTGGAGCCAGCAGGTGTCAACCCTGCAGCTACCAGCAGCGAGCAGCAGCCTACAGCCACCACGGAGGAGCGTGTGCTACGTCGCAGGAAGGCCAACCGCAGTGAGGATGATAAGGAGGCCAGGAAGAAGCTGAGGCGCTCTGGTGGCAGCCCACCTGGTATGGATGCATTGTGTATGCATTAGTGGTGCTTGGAGATATAACCTAGGGTTTGACATGAGGCAAATGTGACATGACTTAGGGTTCGTTTCTCATCATCTCTGTTCAAGTAATTTCTTGAATGTTTCTCCATCCTACAGGAGGGGCCATCGTTTCCCCTACACAAGGGGCAGTGGTTTGCCGTACACCAGGGGCGGTGGCCTCCCCGGCACACATGGCCACGGTCTCCCTTACACAAGGGATGGAGGATGTACTTAAAACTGTGCTGCAGCAGGGCTTTCAGGAGGTCAGAAAGGAGCTAGCCGAACTCAAGGCCCTGGTGGAACCTGCCACAAAGAAGGGCCATGTTGCCAATGTAAGTTTCACCTACTGCAGAACCTGGTATGCATGAATCAAGGGTGACATCAAACTAATCTTCATACGCCCTTTCATGTGCAGGCGAAGGTGGCACGTGAGCAGGTCGTGGACAGCTTCATCAAGAAATTTCGGCAAGATCCGTATTTCATGTTCGAGGCACGGCCCGACCACTTGGACCCCTTCAAGGTCTTCCTCGCAGGACTCCTCGGGTACAAGTCTGCTGATGGCACCCCATCGGTGTCACTGCTTCAATCAAGTGAAACCGAGAAGACGATTTCATATGTAAGACATTTACAGCCTAGGCGGGTCTGTCATTTCAATCCTAGAATGACGAGATGCATGCAACTGTATGATACTGTGCTCAACTCCCTGCAATTCTTGGCACATCTTGTTGCATGCCATGTGGTTTGCATGAATTTTTATACAAGTGCATATGTATTATGGTCTTACAGGTCTTACATTGACACATTTGTACCTATTCCATGAATACATGCCCCATCCTGTTGTAACCATGCTGCAGTATCGTGGTGACATGTACACCAACTTCAAGCATGCAGCCATGGCAGAGATCCGCAAGAAAGTTGTCCAGGAGTACCGGGGATTGGTGGGCACCGAGGGTGCCAAAGCCATCATCCTGGACAAGACATACCGGGACACGGATGGCAAGCACATGGCTGATGCCCGCTTCCAATCATGCCTCATTTCGTATTACTGCAAGATTAGACGTGTCAACAGCAGGGATCTGCATCTGTTTACGGACATTAGCAAACTGGAGTTCACTCGTCACGAGTTGGCCCTTGTGGACATGGAGGTAAGGTTTTGTTGCTTGGTCATGAAGGTTGCTGGTTTGCAAGGCATGTATCCTATGTAGCCAGCTGGCTACACACACTTGCACTCCCAGCCACTGCAGTGGCTGAGAGTGCATGTGTATGTGCATCTGTACATGCAGGCATATAATGTTTGTACAAAAAAACAGGCTGCATGTATGATTTGTTCATTTTACCCAACCGCATTTCGTCTTTTATGGTCATGCATGGTCATATGATATACAGGTGCAACGTGCCTTGCGTGGGGACGTAGCAGCTTCCAAAGGCTACCTTGGGGGCAGGTCTGCAGAGATGCACCTGGCCTACAAGAGTGCACTCAGCATTGTGCAGGCCTGGCGGCACTCTGACATGGCTACGAACCTCAACATTGTGGGCAACGAATTCGTGCTAGGCAAGGCATCCAAGCATTGCTTGCATATGAGCGCCTACGACTTGATCCTTGCCATGTCAGACCAGTAGTATGTGGAGCTGCAGTACAGACAGGAGAATAGTACTTAAAGACGATACAGTTGCATGCCGAGATGCATATGTACAATATGTAAGATGGATGGAGGTACTGTACTGATACCCCTAATGAATATAAGCGGGTTGTTGACCTTGAAACGTACCATGGCCTGTGGTCCCCTGCCAGGCTAGGAAGCATAGCAATGGGGATGGGGAGGAGCCTGCCCCCCAAATAAGTGCAAGAGGTACTGTGTTTGGGGTGAGGCCCATTATCAACATAATTTTCCTAGGATGCAATGTACATTCATACCTTTCTGATGAGATGTCTGTAGTGACGGTAAGGTGCATCCCATATTACAGGCCTAGGGAGCGTGCTGTTGCTGGTTGATGGGCCGTCATGGAATTTATTGTCCAGTTCTTTTTAGCCATGCTGCCATGCATGTGTATTGCATTCGTACTCTGTAAACGTCTGTGTCCATTGGATTGTGTTCTTCATTGCCTAATCAAAAGAAATCAACATGGCACACAAACACAGGACTCGGACAGAGCAACAGGCATGCCAGCGTGGACCCATATTTCAGTGCTTCATTGGGTGCGCTATGTCACTGCACTCTACTTCATACACTGTAACACATATATTTTGTTGCACCCAATTCAAAGGAAACAAGCACATACACCCTCTCTATGATGGCCTGGGAGGGAGTTACAGACCTGTAGCATGGCCTCCCCTTTAGCTGTGGATGCATCCACGTGAGGACATGAAGAACTCTTCTGGTTGACGATGTATGTGTCAGCTGGGCGGGGATTGATGTCTGTGGTCTGGTCATGCCGGAAATGGTGAAGGCCAACTTGGCACACAAAGCCCAAGTGGCCATACAGGCAGGTCCCAGCCAACCTATTGTTGCCAACACCTTGTTGTGCTGCCCAAACAATACATCCAGCCCCACAGTGTCACCTGATTGGCCACGGTATCTGACCAGAACATAGTTGTACTGGCCAGGCATCAGCACTTGCTTGGTAACCAACCTCAGGTGTCACGTGGGAAAGTGGTGGGCTGTTGCTGACCAATGGACTCACGAGTACAGCTATGACAGTGTCATTGTGGTGTGAGATACTACATGACGCCTACCTACCTACTTAGATATTTGATCTGGAAAGAGGTGGTGCACAACAGGTATACTAGCATGGTGTGGGAAGGATTGGGAGAAGAGGTCGTCTATTTTGTACATGGATTGCGTCCTTAATGCAGGTGGCCACTAGGGACAGTAGTAAGCAGCGGTGGATAAAAGGCATTACATGATCTATGGGCTCACTTCAGCAGCCAGGCAATGCCACTGGAATACGGACGGATATGACGTACTTGGGCTAAAGGTCGATGTACAACAGTAAAGTACACCGGACATGCATGTAATGGGCCATGGCTAAAGAGCCCTTAAAGTTGCCGAGCAACTTTAAACATCCTGCACCGTGGTGACCATTATGATGCACTGACCACGGCCTATACACCAGTATCACAGAAAAACTATTTAGACCGGTCCGCTGCCCATGCAAAGTATCACACCCTGAAACCATTAAAAAATTAAATTAACAAAACACAGGATGTACCATTTCTACTAGGCGAAAATGTATCAAAAAAATATCAGTGGTTCATAATGAATGATATAGAGCTTGCTTAAACCATACAGGTGCATCCATTAATAAGTTGTGAACAGACACCCGGGACACCACTAGCATAATAGACACAGTCATAGTACAACACATGCAGCCATCAGGCCATGGGTTTGGGCAGGTGGAACCGGGCCTCGAAGTCCTTGCCGTACTGGGATACAAGGTGTGTGACATTGTCCACCTTTGACCTCTGCATGTACCAGTGCAGGCGAGGTGCCCACACACCAATCCTGCCGGCATCACCCGCATGCACCAGGTTGCCGTCCATGATGAGCATCTGGCCAGGCTGGAGGATGATGCGCTGCACTTGGAAATGAGGCATATCCTGCACAGCCAGCGCATCTCCCTGATGCTCCTCTTCCAGCCTCTCACAGACTACACGTGCCCATTCATGGCTGCCTGGCACCACCAGCAGGGTTGTGTCCGGTGCAAGTGGTGCAAACATGATGTAGCCGGGGGGTTCCTTTGTGCTTGGCTTCATGTCCATATGCAGCTGTTGTGCTGCTACGGGCTGGCCCCCAGCTCCATCCGGCTTGTTACCGAGGATGACCGGCTTGTAGACCTTCAAGTGTGGCCCAAGGATGTCAATGTACTCATCCCTGAACCGCTGCTTTACTTCCCGTACAAAAGTCCGCAGAACAGCGGGGCATGAGTCACCCACTTCCACCTGCAGTCGCTGCCCAGTGCCAATGTCAATATCCACCAGGCCCTCAGCATCTTCCATAGCTGCACCCTTGCTGTCCTGCTTCTCACCCTGGAAAATTGGGACGCCATGCTGACCCACATGCAGCTCAGCAGCCTGACAAATGTCAGGTGTGATCCGCCCATGAAGCCAATTTGGTGACACCACCGCAATCCCCAAGGCGCGAAGCTTAAAGGCTAGCTTGGATGAATCACAGCTATAGTGGGAGGCTGGGCACGAGCTGCATTGCTGCTCTGAGGATGGTGCAGCTGCAGCTACAGCAGGTTGCTCTTGTCTGCATTGGCCCAACTCTGCATGTGCTAGCTCCTCCTGCTTGGACGGAGTCTTATCTGCAGCTGCCTCTGCTTGCTGCTGCTCAGAAGCACTGCCACCACTGCCACCACCGATGCCACTACGGCTGTCACTGCTATTGCTGCTGTTGTCACGGCTGCTGCCGCTGCTGTGCCTGCTGCTGCTGCCACTGCTGCCATGGCTGCAGCTGTGTCTGTGGCTGCGGCTGCAGCTGCGGCTGCGGCTGCGGCTGTGGCTGCGGCTGCAGCTGCGGCTGCGGCTGCGGCTGTGGCTGCGGCTGCGGCTGTGGCTGCGGCTGCGGCTGCGGCTGCGGCTGCGGCTGCGGCTGCGGCTGCGGCTGCGGCTGCCACTGCCGCTTCCGCTTCCGCTGCTGCTGCTGCCGTTGCCGCTGCCGCTGCTGTTGCTGCTGCCGCTGTCGCTGCTGCTGCTGCTGTCGCTGCTGCTGCTGCTGCCGCTGTCGCTGCAGCTGCTACTCACCAGGCCACCATCCATCATGGCGCCCAGCTCAGCTGCACGTCCACCATCCAAAGCCTGCTGCATACGCATCAGCAGGCAAAATCATGTCCATGGCATTGCTGCCATTCATATGGGCTAATGCATGTCACAAACATGACACTGTTGGTCAGTAAGAGTGTCATATATGGTGAGCACAGGCAAAAGTTGCTACTACGGGACATGAGGTGCTACATCATATACATGGTCAGGTACTTTTTACAACCCTGCCTCTGGCATAGTCCTTGCATGCTTTTGTGGGGTATTGGTCCTCTGGCAATGCAATGGCCACCCACAGGGCCAGCTTCCCGACGTGTATACCGTGAATGAAAATGTTGACTTCCATACCATATGCATGAGTCTGCTGCACTGACATTCTGTAGTATCCTGGGTGTATCAAGTGATAATTGTAAACACATCCATCACATGTACTCCTGTATGCCACTATAGCCTACCATGGTCCACACCTGCTTGTTCTCCTTGATGTACTGCAGGTATTCCACTGGGCCCAGGTAGTGACGCCCCATCCTGCAGGCAGCATCACAAATCATGGGGATCAATGCTCACCATGTATGGACAAGGAAAACGAAGTATGCTCAGGCACGACACAGTGACAGTGCAACATCCCTTACACAAGGTTTGACAATGAATACACCTTGGGTATGGGCTTTTGCTGGGTTCTTGGCCGTGTGGATGTGCTCATTATTGGCCAGGGGCACTCTACCCACATCATACTCACTTGAGAGGCCTGGCCTTGTATTCCTGAACAGTATGCCGCGCCTGGTCCAGGAGGATGCGATGTTCCTCATCTGCAACATCTTGCGTGTTACATTGGAGCATGAGCTCACTGATGAGTGCCCGAAGGTGGTCGCGAAGCACAGCTGCATTGCGGCTGGTAAACCAATCCTTCCGCAGTATTGTGGCTGCATCAGCAGCTTTCTCACTCGCCGCCAGAGCACGCACCCCTACAGAATGTATACATGCGGGTACAGGCATGTGTGAGCTTGAAAGGGAGCAAGTTGTTCCTGTTTTAAAGGAAGACCATACACAATCATTAATTTCAAAGTGGTAACTTGTTGTCAAGCTTTACATTTGCAAACACATGTGAACACCTAGGCGTGCATAGGCACACATATACAGAGCTGTATTTAGCAGTTTGCAGGTACAGGGCACGCACCCCACGACTATGAAACACAGAGTCATGCTCAGACAGGCATGCTAAGGCATGCACACATGTCCACACATATGTGTGCATATGCACATTTTGGCACACATGTAAGGTCATACTCGTGCATGGGCACACACTTTAATTCATATTTCATATTTCAGATATTAATTATGGGGTATCCTAACTATTACATGACTAACCTTCTGCGTTGGCATTACCATTCAGGATGATGCAGCGTGGGTTGGCGCCTACAAAGAAGTCCATATACGCCAGGAGGAAGAGGCCACAGTCAGTGGCATTGTACTGCTGGGGTAGACTTCCAGACATGCTGACACCTGGGATCGTTGCAGCAGTGAACACGACAGGTGGTGCCTGCTGTCCAGCAGCCTGAAAGCGCCGTAGCCATTGCCGTGGCACTGATGTGTTGTTGCTGTCATGTGCTTTGCGTGCCCACTCACGAGCAAGGTACCCACGAAGCACCTCGAATATCTCCTCAGATGAATGGACGCCTACAAGGCATGATGGGTTAGTTGCACAAGCCATACCTGTGGCATGTGGATTTGTGAGTCTGAACAGCACTTTGATCTGATACACAAGGTTACAGGACAGCAGACACTATTGCGTTGGTGTATGATGTGTGGGACAGGGGGCATATCTTCACATGTGGCCGCTACCTGGTGAAACCCTGCCTTTCTCGGTATTACAGGGCACCCGCATCCAGCCACCCTACACGACTTCTCAGTGGATAGGTCAGGTTCAGCACCCACCACCGGCATGCAACGGAATATGCCGGATGAATGGCGGCTCAATTCCATTACAGGTCAGATCGCAGGTCTATTTTATCCCAGGCCACCACCGTCCATTGACTAGGGGCGCTCATACCTTCCACAATCGTCAGGAATTTCTACCTTGGCTGGTCACAATATCGGAACCTCCATTGCATCACAGTGTGTGTTTCCAATACGGCATGAACTATGTACCCCGATCCTGCATAAGCAATCTGCACCCACCAGCTGGTAACTGCAGCGCTGGAGTCCAGGTGCAGAATAAGTGCACGGCCACCACCATTGTGCTGCGGCTCCCCAGCACTGTTCCTGTCCGCTACCGGATGTACCACGTTGCCTGGATGGCAGATGATGGCAAGCGACCAGTGCCTACAAGGCATGTCGCTGTGCACAGGAATGAAGATGAAATCTTTGCTGAAGATGTCCACTTCCTGGGGGTACAATAAAAATGGAAATGGAAGCATAAGTACGACCAGTTAATGCCAGTATAGTTTTTTGTCACCCATGCATGACACTATTGTATGAAGTGTAGGCACTGTCCCTACAGATTACAAGTTACTGAAGCATGAATGGGTGATTGAAACTGCTACTGTGAAAGTAGCACATTGTGGGTCACCATGGGTGTTTTGTAAAGAAGAAACAAAAAAAGCGCGGCATGCTAGCTTGTGTATTGCTGCGGCACACACACTGCATGCAGTTCAGTGAAAATTTGAGAACAATTAAAATCCCACCTTGGTCCAGTTGGTCACATCCGCTTCCTGTTTTAACTTGTCGTAGAAAAAAGTGTTGAAGGTGTGGTATCTGGACCGAACCTCCGGTGGCAAGTTCTCGAGAATGTGCCTACAAACCATAATTAATACATGTGCATGTGCAGCTGGGTTGATAGTGTGGTGCAAGGGATATGAAGAGCTGTCCTTGCGTTTGTTGGTTCAACCAGAAATATGTTGATGCCTTAATACATGCAAGATATAGTCAGGCACCGGAAACACATTGCACCCAACATGGACCCAATATATTTGCTACTACAGAACGTTAGTTCCGAACATCCAGGCATGATAGAAGTTCTGTCATGCCACCCTGTTGAAGGAAGTCATGCATGGAAAATTGTTATTGCTCCCATCATACCATGCAGCCGGCATGTCCTTAAGATATTGACCCCCTATTTGCCAGCCACCTGCCCCTGAAATTCTAACCTCGTGCCAAAGTCGATGCATGTGTCATTCAGGAGCTCGCCTTTTCCAAGATGTTGGAGGTCTGTGGTGCAGATCAGCAAGCTGTTTGTGCAAGCACCCATGGGAGGGTACGAGCACTTGAGGACAGGCTTCTTCTGCACTGCCACTGGTACTGCAGACGAAGGACCTGCTTCAGCCATGCTGACTGATTCTGTGTTATCCACCGAGTCGGCATCAAGATTGATACAAGGCTTGATGCTGTTTCGTGGTACATCACAAGGCGTCTGCTGAGGGCACACAGCACAGGGAGAGCATGGCCTAGTAAGCAAAGAGATAAGTGGCTGTGTGGCGGCACCACACCAACATAATGGCCAAAAACTGCAAGGATTTCATGTACTGTGTATGTGTAACACCAGGCAAAGCGTAGTCAGGGAGATGCCAAGGGAGCTAAACCTTCTTACAACATTGGGGGTTTTAAACCCCTCTAGTCATCACCCAAACCAGGACATCGATGATATCTGTAATAGCATCCCGCAGGCCATCATCCTTACATATCCACAAGGTGCATGCACGCACCACACACACATCTTGCGACCCCACCCTACCTGTTTACGGGAGTGAATGGCAGATTTGTTTGTGTGCATACTGGATGAATTCAATGCCCTGCCTTCATTACTGAAGATGTGGCATAGCCTTCACTACATGTCCTTACTTAAATGAAGTAACATGCTCAAGCCAAGCATGTTTGCATCCCTGGCCCACACCCAAACCAAGCACTTACCAGGTTCACTGCCTGCTTCCCAGTGGTCGCATTTTGGCCTTCAGTGCGAGGCTGCAGAGGCACCCCCACTGGCATGGCACCTTCGCCGGCCAAGGTTCTGAACTGGCTGTTCGTAGCCTTGCTGGCAGTTGTTGTGTTGGCCTCGTTCAGCTCCTATACATAATCAGACATAAAGGAAATGTTATACCGTGCTTCCTTTCAAATGGTGCAGTAGGGATAATAATGATGGCCTGGTCTAGAGACATTACTATGACATGTGACGTAAGATCCTGGGTCCGATTCCTGGTTACATCACCAACAATGTCGGGGGCGTGAGATTATGGCTAGGTAGCCCAAGAGATATGGAGTGGAGGTAACAGTTCATGGACCGAAATGGAGTGGATGACTTGACTGGATGACGTGAGGGGGGGTCAGCAGGATTAAACTGACTTGGACTTGCAGTTTGTATGGCGTTGTACAGTGTGGTAATGGTGATGACTCACCTTCTGCTGCTCATTTGCAAATCTGGCCCAGGCCCAACGGCATACTCCAGGCCGGTTCCGGCCCGGTTCCGACCTAACGGGTCCAGTTAACGAGATGGGTAACCGGTCGGTAGGATTACCGGGCGAACCGTTATCCGTTAACCGTCCCAAGTAATCGGTAACCGATGTCGGTAACCTGGCATGAGCAAAAATGCATTTCTGATTGCAACCAGTTTCTTTGTGACAATGCCCATTGTCACAAGGTTCATGCCCACGTGTCACACCCCGACAAGCTTGAGGAGGTTAAGGCAATGTGAATGCCGGGTCAGAGGGTTGCAGAGATGGGGGATTGGGGGCAGGTACTGGTCAGGCGGGATGGGGAATAGGGTTGACGACGTCAGGATGGGATGTGGGGCCCAGGGCGAGGATTAGGGATTAGGCGTGCTACACTACTTTTGGGATGGGGATTGCTGTCGGGGGTGAGGATGGGGATGGGATCCCTGTCTGAGGGATGGGGATTGCAACCTTGACCAAGGAGGGGATTGGGAGCCCTGGCCAGGGATGGGGATGGGACCCTGGTCGACAGGACGGGGATTGCAGGCTTTCGCAAGTTTAGGGTGAGGTCGCTGCCATAGGATTGGGAACACAGTTGGAGGATTAGAATTGGGTGTTCTGCTGTAAAATGAGGCTGCAGGTGCAGAACTTGGAATATTGACAGGACTGCAAAACAGGCCAAGGATGGATGGTTTAGTTGTCCATAGTTGCTTACATGGAAACTCAAACAAACACAAGGAAGTCCTGCTTGCAAGTCGCGTCCCATAGCAAACCAAACTCAAACACAAGGAAGTTCTGCTTGAAAGTTGCGTCCCATAGCAAACCAAACTCAAACACAAGGAAGTTCTGCTTGAAAGTCGCGTCCCATAGCAAACCAAACTCAAACACAAGGAAGTCCTGCTTGCAAGTCGCGTCCCATAGCTAACCAAACTCAAACACAAGGAAGTCCTGCTTGCAAGGCGCGTCCCATAGCTAACCAAACTCAAACACAAGGAAGTTCTGCTTATAAGTCGCGTCCCATAGCTAACCAAACTCAAACACAAGGAAGTTCTGCTTGTAAGTCGCGTCCCATAGCAAACCAAACTCAAACACAAGGAAGTTCTGCTTATAAGTCGCGTCCCATAGCTAACCAAACTCAAACACAAGGAAGTCCTGCTTGCAAGTCGCGTCCCATTGCTAACCAAACTCAAACACAAGGAAGTTCTGCTTATAAGTCGCGACCCATAGCAAACCAAACTCAAACACAAGGAAGTTCTGCTTGCAAGTCGCGTCCCATAGCTAACCAAACTCAAACACAAGGAAGTCCTGCTTGCAAGTCGCGTCCCATTGCTAACCAAACTCAAACACAAGGAAGTTCTGCTTGCAAGTCGCTTCCCATAGCTAACCAAACTCAAACACAAGGAAGTTCTGCTTGCAAGTCGCGTCCCATAGCTAACCAAACTCAAACACAAGGAAGTCCTGCTTGCAAGTCGCGTCCCATAGCTAACCAAACTCAAACACAAGGAAGTTCTGCTTATAAGTCGCGTCCCATAGCTAACCAAACTCAAACACAAGGAAGTCCTGCTTGCAAGTCGCGTCCCATAGCAAACCAAACTCAAACACAAGGAAGTTCTGCTTATAAGTCGCGTCCCATAGCTAACCAAACTCAAACACAAGGAAGTCCTGCTTGCAAGTCGCGTCCCATTGCTAACCAAACTCAAACACAAGGAAGTTCTGCTTATAAGTCGCGACCCATAGCAAACCAAACTCAAACACAAGGAAGTTCTGCTTGCAAGTCGCGTCCCATAGCTAACCAAACTCAAACACAAGGAAGTCCTGCTTGCAAGTCGCGTCCCATTGCTAACCAAACTCAAACACAAGGAAGTTCTGCTTGCAAGTCGCTTCCCATAGCTAACCAAACTCAAACACAAGGAAGTTCTGCTTGCAAGTCGCGTCCCATAGCTAACCAAACTCAAACACAAGGAAGTCCTGCTTGCAAGTCGCTTCCCATAGCTAACCAAACTCAAACACAAGGAAGTTCTGCTTATAAGTCGCGTCCCATAGCTAACCAA